GGGGGGGGGTGCATGTTTTCCAAGGCTTAGGCCACCCGTCCATTGTGAAAGGTGATGCGGTTCATGTCACAGCACTGCTGCTGAGGTTTCGCTCTTCGTGAAGCGCCTTTGTTCTGACTGGGACAACCTCGCCGCTGGAATGCGGAAATGCTGGACCTACAAGGATGCAGTGTTGTTGCACACGGCTTGTGGCATGTTCTTGCACATGGACAACCTGCTGCGAGCGAAAGCCCTGGCATCTGAGTACAATGCGGCTTCTGGGAAGCTGCTTGAACAGTTCATGTGTGGCATCATGGATGCTGAGTTGATCCATGTGGCAGAAAATGGCGTCCCTCCTGGCAACATTCAAGACGTGAGCTACTTCAGGAGCAGTTGCTGTTTCAATGTAAGGCCATGTGGTTTAAATCGCTTAAATGGCAGCTGCTAACCCATTTAAACCTTGTTGTTGTCCTTTGGATGCAAACATATTGCGTTCAATCTGTGTCAGGACTGTGGTGAGCAACTATGAATCGAAGATCACCTTGGAGGCTGAGGAGCGGACCTTGGTGCTCAAGCGGAAAGTGGCGCAGGCGACGCTTGAGCAGGTGGAAGCTGAGATTCAAGCTGATGTGGCTTTGATTCGTGCATCACTACCAAGCAAAACGAACGAAGCAGCTGAGACCGCTCAAGATGTGAAGTACGCAAAAGCCAGACAGGCGTCGCCTGAATGATTTTGTTATGTTTTGTTGCACTTTAAGTGGGCATGTGTTTTGCATGGCAATGGTCAAACGTCATGTTTCATGTTTGGAACATTATTTTGGAATCTTGCAATCAAACATGAATTCAGGAAAGGCGTGCAGTTTGTCAACGATTGGATGAGCCAGCACTGTCGCCTTTGCACCATCGGTGATGACAAGGGGCGCTCTGCGCTGAGCGATTTCACGCGTTTTCTCGTTGACACCCAAGCTGCGGGACAAACGTGTTTTGGTTTGATTAGTCAGACATTTTTTGCCATTTTCCAAATACGACCCACTCCCGACAGTGTAGAGTTAATCAATATGTACATGTCAACTCAAGAGGAACATTACCATCAAGCGCCTAGGGGTGTGTGTGTGTGTGTGCCGAGATTACCTGACACATTCAATGTAAGGTATGTGATTGCTGCCATTGATGCAACCGTTTGGCCAACCGATGGTGTTCTTGATCAAGTGGGCATGATGAACACTATCCTCAGCATGGGGGTGACCCATGTCGGACACCTACAGCTCCCGGTCTTGCAGGCCCAGACTAGCATGACAACGGTTTGCAAGAACAAGCGAAAGATCGAGGATGCCCTGCTGACCGCGGACACGGACTTCTCCCAGGCATTGACTTTGATTTTTGCCAAGGAGACCGTGAGGGCAAACAGTGACAAGCGCGCCACGACGCAGCAATGCCTTGTTTGTGTCTCTGGGCGAGGCAACAAGTGGATGGAGTCTTCGGAGTGCTTGTCTGCTGGTTTGCTTGGGCCTTTACCACTCATCACCGTATCAGAGATGCAAGGATATGACAGTGAGACAAGACCAGGCGCTGCAGCAAGAGTCGAGCAGAACCTTGGCCACGCTTTACAGTAGGTTTTTTTGAAATGGCAATGGATGGGTTGGAAAACTAGCTCCTGGTTCGCGCAAATCGTACAGGCTTTGATCAATTGGCATGCATATTGAGTGCTCCGTTTCCTAGGAAAGGCATCCCGTGTCACGAGAGCATCATCAAAGGATACCTGAAGGGGATGACTTTTTCAGACAAAGACCGCGTGATTTTCCTTGACCTCGTCCCCAACCGGTGACTCGATCCCGAAGCAGTGCAGGTTTGCCAAAGAATGTTTTCGTTTTTACGAGTTTTTTTTGGGAAACTGGCAGGACGCAAAGCAACCACCATTTGTTGGGAACGGTCGTCCTATTCCAGGTATGCCGAGTTTGGAAGAGCATGTGTTCGGCGAACTCTTGCAGGAGAACACCAGCCACCAGTGATCTACTATGGCCTGATGCGGAAGGAACACAAAGATGTGAGCACGCAGATTGAGACGGAGGTGTTCCAACATTGGGACTCCTTGTCAACTTCGCCGGCAAAGACAAGACCCCGTCCGAGTGCTGAAGTGGAGACTGTGTCGGGTTTGAAATTGCTCACGCATGATTCGGATGGCAACTTCGGATTCCCAGAGCACATCATGAGGAAGTTTGAGAAGGACACCGAGGAGTACAAGAAGCTAGCGAAGCTCAAAGCAGACTTTGAGAAAGAAGCGCCGTCGCGAGCTGCAGCTCCGAGAACGCGCGATGGTGGAGCGCCACGGGTCCGAGGGCAGCCAGACTTCAGCATCAACGACGGTAAAAGGCCAATTGACATTGAGGATGTCGTGGACTTGGAGGTAAAGGCGCCCCCAGACGCTTCTCAGAGGCGGTGGTATGTACAAAAAACATGTTTGCGCTAACCTGCTAAGCTGCTAAGTTTGTTGATATTGGAATTTTAGTACCTGGTTGCATTGCCATGAGATCATTGTCATCACAGTTTAATCATCCTTTTTTTGGTGCAGGTTGGCTACAATCATCGGGAAAGCCACCAAACCGTCCATCATCATTGACAAGGACTACAAGGTATGGGTTGGCAATGAGCACAGTGAGAAGCTGACTGTGTGCGGCTGCGAATTGTTTGGGTTCAATACGGGAAACTACGAGGAGAGGCTGGTTGATGGCGGGAAGCGCCATGCGAGCGGGATTGCGTGGCGCGTGGTCTCCGATTTCGACTTGGTCTCCTATGAGAGAAAGTTGACACCCGACGTGACGGTGCTGGATCATGAGCTGAGCCCCAAGCTTCATGCACCAGCTTCTTGGCAGACCCGTGTACTTTGAGCGAAGAGATTTAGCCACTCACTAGGAACCTTAGTTTACAGGAAGGGTACTTTTGTTTTGCCGTTCAGGCTGACGGGGAGAGTGAGGCTGTCCCGGTGGCCTTCCGGTATGACATTCGTCCGTTGCGATCCCTTCGCACCAACGTGTTCCGCCCAAACAACATCCAGGGTGATGTAAAGGTCGGATCTGCAGGAGCATTGTGGCTGGGCAAGTTCGAGCAGCTTCCCAGCAGCAGGTACTTGGATATCATTTTCGAGGCCGATCCCAAGCTGCTTGATCATCCCCGCACTATTTGACAAGCGAGCTTGATGTATATAACTAGCAACTGTTGTCAAATTTCCACCTACTGAATTTTCTTTGTAGAGGCAATAGGTCAGTGGACGTCAGTGGTCAAACTTAGTTTGTTTCTGGAAGGTCGATCTTCGCGGGAACAAGCTGACCCCAATAAAGCCCAAGATGTACCTCACTTGCTGCCTCATCCTTGAAAAGGATGCTTGGGTGCAACTGCCCTCGAGCTGATCGGCAAATAGTGCGCGTTTGCAGTTGAAAGCAGGCAGGGCCAATGGCCAGCGAGTGAAGTGATTTTGGCAATTTAGAAAGTGTTGTTGATCGCTGATCGCTGTCTTTGCTCTGTGCCTGGTGAATGGCCCTCCCTGCGTGATTTTGGTTCTCCGTGATCAAGCGCCCCTGCCGGTTCGATTGAATTACAGCTGGCAGTTCCGATTCACAGCATAAAAATTGGGGCGACAAATAAATATTGTCGTTTAGAGAGTGCCTGAAACATGTTGAGCTAGTAGACCCAATCACTAGGAGAATGTGCCGGCTCATTGTTACGCCCTTGAAAGCCTCCTCCCACACGTCGAGCGCTTTGCTGGTTCGGGGAGGCTAGGTGTGGCATCCCTTTATAGGCACAGCAGCATTTTGTTACAGTCTCAAACCAAATTGCGCCGAGATCACGGGCGCTTTGCCTGCGGTAGACACTTTGAGTGATTCTTCTGAAAACGGAAAGCCTGCCCCAAAAACGAAAGCGAAAGCCAAAACGAAAGCAAAGGCGACTGGAAAACAGCTACAGTTGCCCAAGAAAAAGACTGGGGATAGTACCAAAGCAGGCACGGTGGAAGGTAGTTCTGGCAGCAAGGAGGACCCTCCGAAAGAGCCTGACACCAAAGAACCAGTACCTTTCCAGCACAAAAGACAAGTTCATCGCAGGAAGTAAGTTTAAATTGACTTGTTCAATCCCGTTCACGGCTGAGCTTGTCTTAGAGTCTAAGGCTCAGGAGATCAAGCGCCCAGCAGCATCCATTATGAAGCGCCCAGCTGCCAAGAAAGCAAAGATTGAGGATCCCGGAGGGATCTCAATCGTGAAGCCCGTGTGGTATAAATACCCGCGGTGCACTTGGGCTGTCATAGTGGGCAAGAAGCAGGTTTTTTCAGTTTCTTGGTTAGTTTAAGGAACGTAGCGAGTGTTTGGTCATTCTTTGTTCCAAGCTATGGAACGCTTTTCGATTTTAGACTGGGCCATAGGTTTTTTTGAGGTTGGTGGACGCCAGTACGATTACGACAAGACGCTGGAAGTGGCAGTCGCGGCCTTTGGTTTCCATATCACAGCTTCACTAAGTCAGTGGAAATGTTTGCGGTGCTACATTTTTGTTTTCGCTTCCGACGGGCCCGGGTGTCGATTGCTTTATTTGAGCAGTTGTGCGCCTAGGAGATTGGGCGCAACCATTTGCTTAAAGGGGAAAGCTGGGAAGACGTGCGCATGCTCGTGGTTCCGTGAAATGCACATATATTAGTATTCTGTGATGACAGTGTCTCCTGTGCTGCCTTGTTTCGTATTGTTCTTATTGCGAATGCTTTGCCTGCCATGCCTCATTGCCTAAGGCTTCACTACTTTCTAAGATCCCGAAGCGCGAGTCGGAGTACACTGAGAAAGACGCTCCCGTCCCAACCTCTCCGCCCCGCGATTCCACTGCCTCGATGGGGATTGAAGGAAAATTGACTTAATCATTGGTTGTTGCTGTGGACTAGGTACATCACTTTCATTCAAACAAAGTGTCGTATGAACCATCGATTGTGTTTTTTAGGTGTGTCGGCCTCACACCAAGGAGCCTCAGACTCAGAGCCAAAGGCTCCGAATCCAAGTGAGCCAGCTGAGACCGCAGTGGGAGAGATTGAGAGTGTTGCGGCTGTGGAGACGGCCGATGGTCCTGGTGGGGAGAAAGTTGTCTTGCTAAATAGCAAGGACCAAAAGGACGATGAGGAGGCTGGTGGTGACGACGAAGAGGGTGAAGAGGAAGACGAACAAATTCCGGATCAAGTGGTTGAAGAAGAGGCTGACCCTCGTGAGATTGATTAGTTTAGATCGGACCGCGCAGGGTTGCAGAATCCCTCGGCCAGTCAGTGCTGCAAAAAGGAGTAAAGCTGAAATGCAATGGACTATATATATACATATTAATTTTGGTGAACGGAAATGCATCAAACAGTTTTTGTTGCACAGATTCATCATCGCAGGAAAAAGATCGTTTCACGATCATTGCTAAGGTTTGAGGTCTGTGAGCATCTGTGTGGTGCTTGGCCAGGGGCTTTACGGATTTGTTCCTGCGAAGAAGAAAGCTGAACAATCACCAGGAAAAAATGTTAGTTTCAGGTCAGTGGCGATTCCTGACGATCACTTGCCTTTGGATCAGGAGCGCGTGCTATGGTAGACATGTCCTTTTGGTTGTGCTGTTCGTGCGCATGGTGTTATACGAACAGCTTGAAAACTTGCCAACGAATCGTCAGGAGACGAGACGCAGCTGACTGAGCTGATACCGTACCGTTTTATGATGGCTTGGTGTCTTCTTGTTGCAGCGGTCGTTTTTTCGACTGCAGTTGTTTCCTACAAAATCGGAAGATCAATAGGCCGAGGGGCGCTTCAGAAAACACATCAAGCCGATCACTGTCATGGCAAATGTGTTTTTGCCCAGACTGCGAAAGCTGTTTTGCAAAGGTTTGACCAGGAAAGCCGGCAACACGCTGGCTGTTGCGTTATGGCGCGTCCCATTTATACATGTTTGTCTGGTCGTTATTGGCATGCTAGCCCTACATGTGAGCAATTACTGCATTCCACCCAGCCAGTAAGAAGGTGGGAACCATGTGAGTGTTGTGTTGTGGACCCTAATCGCCACCCTTTTTCTTTGGTTCCGCATCCCATCACGAACATGACCTTGCAAGAAGAGTACCGATGGCTCATGGATGAATGGGGCCCAGAAGTGCGCTACGGACACCAGTTTTCGTAGTGCAATATTTGCATTTTGCTGCTGCCACTTCTAGGGTTCTGGTAGTAGGTGTAAAGTAGCAACATGTAGCAACAACTCACAAAAACAGCGCGACAACGAAACACGGGCAGGGTTCGCTGTTGGTCCAGGAAACCGCCATCGACATAGAAATTAAATCCCATGGTGTTTGTTGTGGATTCGCAAATATGTTTTCCTACAAAGCAATTCTTTGCGAGCAGCGGGTGCGCTACGCCAGGTTCACAAGCAACAAACAATTGTCCGGCCTTTGCGGAAAAATACAGGCCGACTTGTTTTTTGGGCCCAGGTAGCAGTTCAAAGCGTATGTATTTGAGGCTGACCCGGAATTGAAAGGCCACCAACGCACTGGCTCAACCCACTTTGTTTGGTTATTGTTCATGGTGACCGGTGTTGTGGTGTTGAACAGTGTTGCCGCACACTTGGGCAAAGGACTCGGGTTCACAGCGACGCCGTCTCGTTTTGAGTGAATAGCTGTTCCGATTCCCCAAAACCGGGGGGTGGGGGGTAACTCTAAAGAAAAACTATTCCCCAAAGGGGTGGATTGAGTGGCCCACGCAACTTTCATAAGATAGTTCACACCGCTTCAAACCCTTTCACCCTTTAGCCTGCATACTGTCATGAATTTGCGGCCCCCGAGGGTCGGGGGTAGTTTTCTCTCTGATTGCCGTGGTGGCGCTTCCACGAGCTCAGCCCACATCGGCTCAAGGCAAGGGCTCCAAGGTAAGCTATCTACCAAGTACCCATCCACAAGCTCAGCCCACATGGGCTCAAGGCAATGGCCAAGGTAAGCTATCTACCAAGTACCCATTATGTCCATAAAGACCACCAAGCCAGAGAAACCCCGATTGCCCTAGAAACCCCAATTGCAAGGTAAACTCTTTTATTGTCTGTCTTTGATGCTATGGAGGCCCGACCGGCCGAGCTTGCC